CTCTCGCTCTCTATATATATATATTCATCCATCCAATTAATTCGTTCCAGCCACCCAGAAATATATATATATATATATAAAAACCTAAAAACCAATTAATTCGTTCCAGCCACCCAGAAATATATATATATATATATAAAAACCTAAAAACCAATTAATTCGTTCCAGCCACCCAGAAATATATATATATATTAATATAACCAAATAATTTGTTAATTGGTTTTTAGGTTGTTTTTTTTAATGGGGAAAATTCATTAAAAAAAAAAGACTAGAAAATTCGATCGAGACATGAGTGCTGTTGTAGAACGGAGTAATGCAAAACTATTGTAATGTCAAAACTAACTTGTGTCTAAATTTTTGGACACATCAGATACTTTGACGACTACTGATTCCACATCACCATGTCATTAATTATACAGAATATGATCACTTTTTTTTTTGTATTTTGTAATTTATTTACATATTTCAAATAGTTGTCATACTAGTCAAATCATAAAGTAATTAGATAAGAAATCGTTTTTATCAGGGCTGACGTTGATAAACTGAAGCAAAAAACATTATGAAAGTTTTTGTGTGGACATTTATGACCAGGAAGGTGTACAGAAGCTATCTTATTTAAAATCTCGAACCCTGAACCTTCTTCTGCATGTAAGGCTATAATAATAATGATAACTGTTACACTATAAAACCATGTTAATGTTTTGGCTTTTAGGATATTGCTTTTTAACAAAGGGAAATAAAAATCCATGTTTTCAATCTTTAAAAAAAAAAAAACACTGCTTGTTTCCTTTGAATTACCACTTATTGTTTTTAGATCAAAAGCTTGTGTTGTAAATGCTCGTTTGGTTATAGATACTCTGTCTGTCTCCTGTCTAACTACTATTTGTTGTGCATTTATTCTTTCCATAGATGAAAAAGAAATTACAGACATGGGTTCTTCCAGAGAAGTAACTAGCAAGAGTGATTCAGAGCAAGAGGAAATTCAGAATCCGGAGGGGAACGGACACGTTCCAGAAGAGGAAGAAAAGCAAAGGAAACAAGATGATGCCTGTGAGACAGAGACACCACAGCCATAGCTGCACAATATCAAGCTGAAGCTCGGATATCTGTTTAAACAAGTATGACGACTACCGTAGTGTTGTCCCGGTAGGTTGCCCTTTATTTGATTGAAAGGCGTTTTAATTTTTTTGTCTGGCATGACTTGAAATGTTAGACTGGCGGCTACATACCGTAGATTCATAAGGTAAATTCCAAAGGCTGCTTATCCAAAAAGTATTCAGCAAATGTCGCTGTCGTGTACTGTACATGCTAGCAACCTAACTTAGTTTTATCACTTTGTGATTATTGTGTGCTATTAACTGGGCAGCTGGTATATGAGTTATTTTAGATCAAAACGTCTGTTTTTTATCTCAGACTGTCACTTTGTTATTCAATAGCTGTTTGAAGTTGAGCAGTGATATTTTAGGGGAACATACTTTTACCACTTTTATGCAAATTCACTTAGTAACATGCTTGGGTCTAAAACAGATCGTTCCTTACAGACCTGTTTAGCAGATTTGTCCTAAACTCTCATTTGTGTTAGTCTAGTGATGGTAATGAGCCACTGTGTGCCTCCTCCACCCTGAGGATGGGTTTATGTAACCATGGCAACACACTAGTAGAAAGAACAGCTACTTGTATTGCAGAGATTTGTGTAGTCTTTTGCGTTCAGGCCTAAGGTATGGTTTAACACCTCCTTTGATCCAATAGAGTCATGTTATGGTCATCGGGTTCGCATTATTCCACCAATCAGACCTGCTATCGTGTATGGTTTAGAGCAGGCGTGGGAACTCAAAAAAAAAAATGACATGTAAATAAAGGTCATAAATGCTAAAATGCTTTAAGCTTTTTCTATGCCATCTACTGGAGAAATGTGAACATTGCAGGGAAAAGGCAGAAGTATAATGTTCATAGAAATGAATAATATCATTCAGACAAGTTTGGCATGCCGGATTAAAAGTTGGACGTTGTAGATAAAGAAATAGATAAAGATTTTCACAAAGAATCAACAGGATGGACAGGATTATAATCAAGCAAATCAGATTGGACAGTTAAGGTGAAGCAGTTGGAGATAAATTTGAAAGCTGAGGTTTAGATGTTACAGCCGGAGAAGGTGACTTCTCAACTGTATTATTCATCTTATACACAGTACCGTTAGGTTATCTGAATCGATTGTTTAAAGCACCTTCTAAACTTAATTTAAAGTAAATAAGTAAGTAATTATGTGTCACTGCATCTCTGTAGTTTTTCTTTAAGTTGAAAATCTGAAGCCTAGCAGTTGAGCGTATATTTTCCACTGTCATACGATGATGCATGTGCCTTTTGATGCTATTGTATTTTATATTACAGCATAAGCTGCCAAATGTGAAGCATGTGTAAACACTGATAACCTAACTATTTGCCACTATCTCTTCAAATGCTTCTCTTTTTTGCTTTAGAAATCGTTATTCTGTTTTTAAAACATGATAAAAATATAACGTGGTGTTTTTTTTTATTTTTATTGTAACTATTTATTTGATGACCTTAAATTAAAAGCATTCATTTAAAATCCTAGGCTGTCAAGTTGCAGTTACAATTTCTGTTTAATTAGATCTATATTTGTATCTCTTAAATTAAAGCAAAACTCAAAGTGAGGGGTAGTTTCCTGTATTCTCCTTTATTTATGAGAAAAAAACCCACAAATACTGTACGAATGAAAGTTGTAGTAAGTAGTATATAGTGGCATATGCGCATGTAACCACTTTTATTGATGATTTTTTTTTTAGAGTCATAACGATGCGACACTTAGGATTTAAAAATGTCAAAAAATGTTATTTTCATAAGTGACACCAACACAATCGCAGCGCATGGCATGAAAATAAAAGACTATTTAAGGGGGGGACATGTGGAACTATGCAATAAGAGTTGGGATACTGTTCGTAATAAGTATTTTAATTTGATATCTGTATTTATTACTACAGAACAAGATCACTTTTGTGTAGGTTCAGATTAAATTAGCTGAATAAAGGAAAATTTTTTTTTTTTTTTACTAGACCTGCTATTACAGAAATCTGTGATGCTTTTTTTTATTAAAAAAAAAAATAGGACTTCATTCCACAAAGTTTTTTTGTACTGTTAATAGAGAAATTATTATTTGTGTTTATGCCACTGCTATAGGCTCACGCTTTTCTGGTGGGAAATATGGATCATTTGGTTTGACAAAAAAATAAAACGTAATGGAGATAAGATTAGACTTTATTCATCGCACACTTGGGAAATTCAGTTGTTACAGCAGCAGGATAGACATGTAGTACTAAAAGTAAAGTAACAGCAGGGTAGACATGGTATTTACATGGTGATATAAATATCAAACTTTAAAGTGACCTGCAGGGAAAAATAAAGTGAAGTGAGTATAAAAATACAAACAATTTGCAGTGTAACTATGTACAGGCTTGGTATATGTAAACAATATTGGTTGAAAGATTGTTATATGTTGAAAGACCAGAACAGTACTATAGTTGTGCATTAAACAGTCTGATGGCTGATGGGGGAAAGACATCCGAAAGTGTTTAGTTGCAGCAACGGATTTTAGCTTGGCTAAAATCCTCCTCTCTCCCACATCTTCCAGAGTCTCTAAGGGACAGTTTGCAACCAATCTGGCTCTCCTAACCAGCTTCTCCAGATGATTTTTCTCTGTAGAGGTTAAACCACTCCCCCAACGGATGATTGTGTAGAATAGTGCAGAAGTCACCACAGAGCCATAAAAGGTTCTGAGGAGTGTCCTACACACCTCAGTCTCCTCAGTAGGTGGAGACGACTTTGACCGTTCCTTTACAGGACACCAGTGTTTGTAGACCAGTCCAGTTTATTGTTCAAGTGAACACTCAGTTATTTGTGATCCTCGACCATCTCTGTCGTTGCCCTGAATGTTCACTGGTTCACAAAGTGGTGGGAGGCTCTCCTATGGAAATCAGTCACCGTCTCCTTGGTTTTACAAGGGTTTTAGTTATTATAAGTGGGTATGACAGTTTGGTGAAAAAGTTGTAATCATCAAGATTTGGGACGTAAACATTTACAAGAATGAATGGAAGAGAGAATAGCTGTCAAGCAACAATAACACAGATGTCGCAACAACGCCTGAAATGCGACATCTTTGTGTATAAGGATCGCAGTGCCTCTGGCCTTGACATTAAACCGTGAGTGGTACAGTTGGCCAACCTACCTTCTTTTAAGATAATTTACATAATCCATTTTTAGATGAGTTTCCTGTATAAATACGATGTCTGCCCGTAGGTGTTGAAGATCAGATATTATCTTTTGTCTGAGTGAGACAAGGGGAGGGGGTAAAAAAAAAAACAAAACAAGGTAAGCAAAAGGTAAACATAGAAAATGTAAGGCTGAAAAAAAACTCCCTCTGGCAAAAAGCACAAAGAACATGTGCTGCCTATACTTAAACTACTAACCACTACTAACTCCAGGGGGCGTTCTAACACCGGGGGGCGTTCTAGCAGGAAGTGCAAAAACAAGACAGACAGGGGAAGTCAGTGCAAAGAAGAACACGCTAGTTTTTATTTAGCACGACAGTGAATTATTTTCATCATGGAAAGCACACGAAGAAGTTCGTATGACGCAGCTTTTAAGTTAAGGGCCATCGATCTGGCTAGCCAGGGAGGAAATAGGGCTACTGCACGTAAGCTTGGCGTTAATGAATCCATGGTGAGACGTTGGAGACGGCAGCGGGAAGAAGAGAGCAGCGCACCTTTACCTCGGGATGACAGTGACACGGAGAGAGACTAAAACGGTATGTGACGAAGTTTTTCTGAGGCTGTTCAACTCCGACACTGAAGAAGACGACTTCAGCGGTTTCAGTGCGCAGGAGGAAGATGAATTAAGCTATCAATTACTTTTCTGTTTTGTTCGACCGGCACTTTTACTGCCGTGTTACAGGCACTGTTCGGAAACAATCAGTTCAGGTATATAAATAAGCATTTACGGTACAAAATCTTTCTGTGTTCTTGTGTATCCGGTAAATATGTTACTCACTTATATGTGTAAATTTATATGTTTTTTTTTT